TAACCTTTTTGAGGAAATCTGTGAGTTAGTTCACGTTAGAGTACGATCAATTGTAGGATAATTAGACTGAAACGCTTGAACATCGGCCTGGAAGTCGAAATAACCCAACAAAGACTAGATCCGAGCATGATAGATTGTATGCCTGACCCCTACAATGTGTGTAAATGAAACACGGTAAACCGGCGTTCTCCCAAAATTCTTAGAATACATCTAAGCTAACGTAGATGGCACACTGAAATAATCTTACTCAAACAGGGGTTAGCTACATTTCTATGGTATGNCTCATCGATGCGCATGCAATTAAACCAAATGGTTTTCGAACGTTTTCTGTTATGAAGCGCCAAGTTTTTTAGTCAAAGAGCACTACACCGCACACCGTTGTGTTGTACACATGCCCTTCCGGGGAAAAGGATATGACACACCGGTGCTAGAGATGTCACAGATTAGCAAATGATAATCTCACCTTAATTACGCGTTGGAAAATCTCCTCAATCAAAATTCCTCTACAGTATTTGCAGCTTTTGAGGTGGAGAAGGCTTTAAACTACCCCAGAGTACTAATACTAAATGAAAGATGGGCACAGGCTCCCTTAAGTCTTGCAGAATTCACTCTGAAAGTGCAAGGGACACAACGTACCGAGCACCTTCCACTGAAAAGAGGTCAAGGGAGTTACGCATCGTCTGTGCAATGTTGCTGAGCAAGGCAAAATTATCCGCCTACTTCAAACCTATGACTTCGTATGCAGGAAGAAACTCATTGTGGGAATTCCTTTCACTAAGTAAGGTTATTTTGGGAAATCATCTAAGTTAAATTTGAAAAGAAACGGAAAGATGTGGTAGATCTGTCACGTTCCACTGATGTGACAAGAAAAGAGGGTGAAAGCTCCCAACCCTTGACACAATTTCCGATAAGCTATTTGCATCCAACACACCGCTGAATCCACCACGATTCTAATGAACATTTGTCCGGACCACTAGTTTGAGCTTTATGAGCGACCACGTAAATTGAACATCTTTCTCGAAGAGAAGAGACAATTCGTTCACATTTCTACTCCAAATTTATCAAAGTTACGCAAAATCACATTCAATTTGAGATCCAAATAGCCCATACTCTCCGTTTGCAAATAAAACCGATCGGTCGGATTGTAGACAATTTCCGGTCTGCGCAAATGCGGTCCGCCACCAATGTAAGTGGAAGTAATATGATCCAATGCAGTTCCGACCGGTCTCCACATGGCCACTTCAAGCTAAACAAATAGGAATTGCATTGGCAAGCATCGAGTTAAGAACTTTGGATTTTACCTCGTGATAACCCGGTGATGTAGGTACATGACAAAAGCCATATCCGTAGATATCATACCGCCCGACCCAGTCATAATGCCATATTTGAAAATGAAGTTTAGGCCAACCTGCAATTAAGTCCAGATAATGTATGGTTTGAATGCATAACGTACCTTGTAGTCCTTTTGTGGCAAAATGAAGATCGATCGGATGACAAAAATGGGCAACTTCCCCCACTGCAGGGCAGTCTACTTGTGTTTGTCCGTCCGGAACGCCTTCAAGCAACCGCCACGCTCCACCTATTAGGGCGAGTCAAAAAATGGTATTTCGAAACTGGCATTCCGTTCGTACTTACCCGATTTCACTCCCCATTTGCAAAATAGACTTGTTTCAGGGAAACCACGAGCACCATGAATTTGCCCAATCACATGCAGTTCGGCCATGTTTGTTCAGTTTTTGACAGTAAGCATTACTTCGGGAATTTTCAAGGTAGAGAGCTAGGAAAGAATGAAGCACATTTATGGGATCATCTCAGAGAGTAACCCATCCAACTGCACAAACAAACATATTCAAGCAGAAAGTCGTTGCTGTCGAACCGCTGACGTTATAATTCAGCGTATTTAGGTGATCGCTTGCAGAGCAACTTCAACTCCAGTGAGGACAACAACAGACACCTATTATTCTCATGTCACCTCGACATCATCTAGTGGCCTCTGTGTAGGTTCCTTCACTTTTGGGATGAATTCTAAAAAAGACTACCTGACATCTTGCCTAAAACGAACCGAGCTGATATCGTGATTTTAACGGGAGATATGAGTGGTGGATTACGCCGACTAACTTTGAGTGAAGCACATTTGGGAGGTCCTTTCGGACTAGATTCCTGTCACTCGTAAAACGGGAACGGCTGTTAGCTGTGTGTTTCTACCACCGCCTACCCCTTGCAAGTACGAACTTCAGATGATCCAACTGCCGGCACGCCACTTGGTGTCCACCCTCCTCAAGTCAGCGATGGACGTAAATAGACTACATCTCTGTCAGCCACAAATGCCGATCTTACTGGATCACTCCCCTTGAATCCGACCCTGTATTTGCTTTCGCCGCCATTTACCATCTCCAGTCAAATGTGACAACACTGCCCTACATCCCCATTCCTCTTCGACTTTGCCATAGAAGATGTTCTACAGAATGCTTAATTCGGTTTGAAAAATGGTGGAGTAGAACTCATTCCAAGGAAGAGTTCTTCACTTAGATTATACCAATGGCATCATTGTGTTGGGTGACAACGCACATGGAGCTAAACACGCTTTGAACCGCTTGGTGATCAAGGCATCCAGGTAGGGTGTGGTGCTTTGCACTATTCAGGGTTAGACATAATAAGGCAGTTTAGAAAATTGAGGTTCCTTTCTCTAGAGAGGAGGCGATCAAAAGGGAATCTGCTGGAGATCGTTAGGATTGTAAAAATACTCTCAAGATTAAAAACAGAGCATGTTTAAAGAGCCTATCCAACGAGAAACTAGACTGAATGACTACAAACTTCACGTTTGTTCAGTAACCGAGTGGTCAATGGCTGGAACCGGTTGCAGAAGGAATTAGTAGATTTATAACAAAATTTCAGGTGATAAAAATGTTTGGTATCTAGAGCTCGGAGAATCTGCTCACAAGAAGTATTGTAAAATGAACTCAAGTTTCTTTCCAACGTGCGATGGCTATCTCGACTGCTTCATTCAACGAAATATTATGGAACAGGTACTAAAAATACACACTGATATGGTGGCAAGAAGGACTTGTTCGTTGGTCTTCCTTATAAGGACAACCTTGCCATTGAAACCCTCGAAAGACGACTGAATGGAGCGGTAAAAAGCAACATTCAACGCCACGCACCTACGCTGTTCTTTCAAAAGTTCGCCACTGATAACCATACGAAATAAAGATAAACTACTAATGTTTACCGCTTCAATGATTGTTTACTCGTTCAGATGCGTTTGTGACGCACTCTANAAAAGCAACATTCAACGCCACGCACCTACGCTGTTCTTTCAAAAGTTCGCCACTGATAACCATACGAAATAAAGATAAACTACAGATATTGACCGCTTCAATGATTGTTTGCTCGTTCAGGTGTTTGTGACGCAATTTCCGTCGATCGCACGGCAGTTATATATCCGCATGAAAGAACACCATCGCACTAGCTTTGTCAAACTGAGTCGGGATCTATATCACAAGAGCGATTCTCGCTCAATTGGTATACACTGGCCATCGTGTTAACCCAAGTGAAGCATTCCGCATTATTTATCAGGTTCCCCTCACATAAACTGTAACGACATGATTATGAGTTAGTGAAAACAATTGTTCGCCTGAAATTGTGTTCTAAATGCGACTATGGGCATATTTTGAAATTTGAAAATTATTAGATTCAGTGAGCGCAGCTGCACTTAGGCAAGCTCTGAACGATCGACGAATTGAGTCCTTTCCAGAATGGGACTATAAGTGTATTTACGGAACACCTTTATGACATACGTCCCTTGTTCGCCGAAGAAGTGCAAGAACACGAGAGTTTTCCTTTCTTTTCAGCAGTGATATCGTACTGGAGGTAAGTCGCGGTGTTGGATGCACATATCTAAAGAAATTTGGACGATCGATTTGTCGAGGCTATATCGGTCCTGTGCAATATGTCTCAGGTCAGGCCAGTTAGCTTCAGTTCAGTTCGGTTCACACAAGATGATTTGGGTCTCTTACCAAGCGAGCGTACAGATACACGTGTTGTCCGCGAGTTTCTTTTGCATCCAACACTTTGATATGTAATTTTTATGAAAGGCATAATAGTGTGGAGTAATGTCATATGCTTTGGAGTGAGGTTGTAGTTAATAACTAGAAGCTTACTTCGGGAAACCGTTATCCAACACTTTTCTAGTGCCTTTTTAAAATCATTCATAATACTGCAGCTTATCACTGTCTGCAGCAACCAGTTTCACAACGGAATCCCTCTGTTATTGAAAAAGATTGCCATCAGTTGCAGCCTAAAATGGTTTTTCTGGAGACTTAGGTTATGCTCCCTCATGCTTTTATACGGAACCAAAGAGAACAGGTCGTAAAGTCCCTGGTCTGGTATACCCTGACAATCGTAAACGCATCTATTAGCTCCACTCTCATCCTCCTCCATCGGGGGAGAACAGATTCAGATCCCTGATTCGCTGTTCATAACTTTGTCCTCGTTGCCTAGCTGGCATTCTTTTTGCTAGACGTTGAACTCTCTCCAAAGTGTCGGTGTCCACTCGATAAAACGGCGCCCGAGCCCGGGAATAGTAATTAAGATAAGGGCAGACGATACATTTGTACATTGGGACAAACATTTCGGGTTTTGTGCACGTCATTAAGGAACATAGAGGAAACAGTTGTTCCCTGGCTTTGTTTGAGACCTTCAAACACTCGGTGCTTGGTTCTAAGTTCCGCGTTACCCCGATGTCTAGGTCCTTTGCTTCGCAAACCCTTTGTATAGACAAGCTCCTTTCTATCTCTTCGTCAGTCTTTGTAGTCAGTAGCTGAAATTTCGAGACATTGTAGTAGGCCCCAATGTTCGGTCCATCTTTCAAATACCTCTACATCTCTTGCTAGATCCCCTCCGGCTATCGTAACGTCATGTTTGAACAGAAAACAGGGATTATTGATTCTGGTATTCTCGTTATTCAACTTAACTGTTGTGCTCACTTTTAATCTGCTATGTATCCTAACCCCCATGGTCACGATATCGATCCTTGAGGTATACCGCTTGTGACCACCGCCTCCTCAGATATGTGATCTGCTACTTTGATTTTAAAATTTAGTGGAGCCAGAAAGCACATTATACCGATCCTATTCCCAACACCTGCATGTTATGTTCTAACAGATCATGACTGACAGAGTCCACTGTTTTCCGAAAGTCCAGATAACCTACCTCCATTTTAAGATCCCTACAAAAAAATCCATGTTGAACTGATCCCAATGGTCTGCTGGGGCCGAGCTAAATTGGTGGTGCGCAGTTTGAATATTGGACGTGGTTTGTTCTTTTCAATTATGCTTTAGTCATTCCTAATTGATAAACCTATTTTTGGGTGTAGTGTTTACTAACAATCGTCAAAGTTTCAGTTTTCGCATATTATCTGTTGGCTTAAACCCAAGGGGCACACAATCGATTTCTCAAACCGCTGGGAGATAACAACGAAATTTACTATCTTTCTAAGTTATCTATTTTCAATTGTCTAGTTATTTTGTGCACACATTTTAATAGCACTATATTTTGTGCCATTTATCCATTAATAACTTCATAGCTCCCTTTTTACCTAGCATCAATTTAAAATACAATTTAAAATTAATTGGCTTCATTCTAATGGAAACAAAGAGAGCAAAAAGCAGACAGTCTCATGAAGGCCACGGAAAATAAATCATCCTTGCGGTGTGAGGGGATGCGGATGGGTAGTAAACGAATACAATTCTATGCATGCAAGTCATAGTACCACCAAAAATGCAGCAAATGGGCTAAGGAAACAATGAAAATAATAAATAAACACCACTTTACGAATTGATTCTGCCTGAAATTTATATCATACTATAAAGAAAGGCTGATAGAGAGAACAACATCCCCTTGGATGCTGGAATCGGCCCCAAGTAAACTCCCAACAAAAGCTGGGCCAATGAGTCAGAGCATACCTGTCTTCAAAGACTCTCTAAATAGCGAGTCTACCGAAAAAGAAGCTGCAATGAAATTGCAAAATAGACTTGTTTCCTTTTCATTAAACGATGTCATAACGGCAGGAGAGCGTCCAGCATAAATAAAATGGGTTCAGATCTGAACTTGTAAAGTGCAATAATACAATTGTAAGCAGGTTTAGTGCAGCATGCACAAGAACCAGGGAGACTCCAAGATAGGGCTGCTTTCACACCTATTGCGCTAGAGAGAAATACCGAGGCAGCATTCAAAAGAAATCGGAATGTGATAACAGGAGTACCGGAACCACAGTGTCAAACTATGAACGGTAGAACCCAGCATATAAAAGGAGATCTACTCATACTACTAAGGATTACCGACATACCCGTGAAAACCTACATAAAAGGGGTTTTATACTGGTAAGTGGAAGGAAAATGCTGACAGAGTTTGGTCTAGACCGGCGCTGTTGGAGTTTTCAAGCTTCACTATGAGAGACCTATTGTTGGCTGCAACAGAAAAAGTCAGAATCACGGGACAATCGTTGAACCGTATATGTCAGAGAAGACTCCATATATATTCTCCCAAATGTATCATACATGCATTACGAGGCCCATCGAAAAATTGCAGAGCAAAAGCACTGCATGCAGTCATTCGGGGCACAAACAGCTTTTAATGAAAACAAAAGAACTCGCAAAACCCAGAAATGAAAAGTATCAAAAGTTTTCTATTCACCAACGGGGTCCCCTATTATGCAAAATTCAA